TGTGTGTGTGTGTGTGTGTGTGTGTGTGTGTGTGTGTGTGTGTGTGTAGCTTCGGGCGGGTCCGTTTGATGAGTCCCAGATTGCCACCATGCTGAAGGAGATCCTGAAGGGTCTGGACTACCTGCACTCTGAGAAGAAGATCCACAGAGACATCAAAGGTACAAAGATCAGCTGCGCTTAGATTATTCTTCCTCGCCTTATTGGTATCACTCCAGTGATTTAGTGTGGCACTTTAATATTATATTACACTTTAATATACAATTACTCTTTGTTGTTGTGTTTTACTTTAGCCAATCAGTGGGGCTAAAGTCATATTTAAAACTGATAAAACCATAAAATATATGTAAAACATTAGCTATCACATGAAACAAGCTTTTATTTTGAGCCAAAGCTCGTCATAACGATGTTGTTAATCCGTCGGTAGCTGCCAACGTGCTGCTGTCGGAGCACGGCCAGGTGAAGCTGGCGGACTTCGGGGTGGCCGGTCAGCTGACGGACACGCAGATCAAGAGGGAAACCTTCGTGGGAACGCCGTTCTGGATGGCGCCCGAGGTCATCCAGCAGTCCGCCTACGACTCCAAGGTAAGACTCCCGTCACCGTAGCACCTTCTTCAGCACCTTAAAGCTGCCGGAGGTTGCAACGTGTTTTAGTCGCCTTTAGCTCCTATACATTTTTTTTGTTTTTTCTTTTTTTTTTGCTAAACCCCTCCCCTAAAACCTTAATTATCCAATCATAGCTGAGCAACTGTAACTAGTTACATCTCCATGCATTCAAAGACTTTTTTTATGGTTGCATCTTTATTCATGTGTTTGCAAGCAAAAGTGAAATAAATGTATTAAACGGTGCGTTTGTCTGCGCTAACGTAAGCTGCTGAAGTTAGCATACCTGGCTAACTCGTTACGGATTGTAGTAACGTAGCGCTACTTCCAAAGCCATCACTTTGATGTTGCAACTAGGAACGGTGGAGCTCATTTTAATTACTTTATATCCTGCTGGGAAGCTTTTGAGTTTCCCATCAGGATCAATAAAGTCTTATCTTTTATCGATGTTCTTACTTCCTTCATATGTTAGTTGATGTTATTCTGTATCTGAATCTTTAAAGTACCTAAAGCTGAGAGATGCATGTATATAATAACTATATTTCCCTTTTGAAATGTAGTTTAAAGTAAGATGAAATGGAAATACTCAAGTAAAAGTACCTCATAACAGTACTTCCACCACTAGTACGTGTTTATTTTTGCACTCTTCTCTGTGTGTTCATTCGCGTTAAACTTCTGCATTTGCACTCGTCGGCACAAACAAACTCCCCACGTCGTTGAACGGCTCGTCTGGCTTCACGCTTCACTTTATGGCTTTATATCCTCTGTTGCCGTCACACCGCGCGCCATTGTTTTGTATGTCGCTGTAGCAACCTCTGCCACGTGGGCTTGATGTTGTGTCTGGCTTTGAGGTCGTTTGCATTGTTTCCACAGCGTTTTATTTGCATCTTAATGGGAAACTCCCACCGTGTCAAGTAGTCTGGACTTCTGAGATAATACAGTTTTTAGACCTCAAATCCACCCTCGTAATGTTTGACTGTGGAGGGGATTCCCTCGTCTCAAATGAAATGCCAACAAGCCGCATCAAACCCTCCCGCGTTCATAGCTGCACCTGTTGCACTCAAACGTGCACAAAAGTAAAAAGGCTGCTTTAAATATTTGGATGTGATACCCAATGACAAAGCAAACAAACGTCTTTTCATTCAGATGACATAACAAGGTGACGTCTCCTGGCTCTCGCTCTCTCTGTCTTTGTTTACGTCAATGCAAGTTTGTGGTTTGGTGTGTTATGGAAATACGGTAATACCATTAGGGTGTGTGTACTTTGTGGTTTGATTCATGTCTGTGTGTTTTAATGGGGATTATATATCGATATATATTTATTTATATATCCACAACAAATTGTTCTACTTTGTAATGTATGCGTCTTGTTGTTTCTCAGCTCAAACGGAACAAATCAAGATGGAGAAACAACTTAAGATGTTGTTGTTATCCATGTGTTGTACTAACTAATTATTTTATTTTTGCTATTGACGGATGTATTGACCGTTTTTGACAAAAATGAAAACAAATGTGCATCAAAAAGTGATTTATTAAGAAAAAGTGTTTGCCTTAATTCCTGCTTTTATTTTGTAGTAGTTACCCTTTTTATCGCAGTGACACAATAACTAAGTCAGCATGTTGAAGGGAGGCGTGTTAACTTGTCATTTGTGTAAGATGGTGTTTCAATCTTGTGTAAAGGGAAGGAAGACAAAGCGTGACTTGTTGAAACACCAAAGACAGTTTGCAGACACCGCTAACGGTTACGTAAGCGACAGACGTGACCTACGCAGTTTAAAAATAAGAAAGGGAAAAAAAAGACCATATTTAAAAGGACAGTTTGGGTATTTGATGCCTTCACCATGTGGACTCAACCAGTGACCACGTGACCGTAACTTTACCCAAAATAAAGATGCACTCTTTGATCTCACTTGATATTTCGAAGCTCAACACATTTGAACATTTTCAACAAATACCATGAAAAGACCAAAAACTGTGCTAGTCCGTCTCTACTATACATCTTTAACAACGTGTCACAAATGTGTAGTTTTTCTTAAAGCCTCAGTAATTTACTACAACGGATGGTTGCTGTAGTTTTTATCAATGATGTGAGTTTAGCAGCAGTAAAACGTACCTTGTACCTGAAAACACCCGAAAGCTACTTACTGACGGTATTTCATTGGCTCTGTTTTTACTTCATTTTCTGTTGTTTTTTTAAGCTGCTACTTTTCAACCACGAATATATTTTGGACATTTTTGTATTTCATTCAATATTGAAACACTCCCGGTCACACTGAACACGCATACTCGTGAACATATTGTGTTTGTTGTGGCAGTTGACGGTTTACGGCAGTTTACTGTTTACGGCAGTTGTTTGTTATGTTAATTGACAGAATACAACAGGACGGATTATGACAGTTTACTGTGTGTGTGTGTGTGTGTGTGTGTGTGTGTGTGTGTGTGTGTGTGTCTTACCTGGGCTGCCACATGGCCATTGGAGCAAGTTGAAACGATGTGACATTCAACCTGTGTGCATGTGTAACGTCTGAGGGTCTGTGTGTGTTTGCATTATTTTGTTTCACTACTTATTAGGAATAAACTTTAGTTTGTAACAAAATAGTATCTGAAACTATTAGTGTATTTAGAATTTTGTTTTAATAATTCATCAAGCAAAATGGGGAAAACATTTTTTTTTTTTTTTTTTTTTTTTTTTCCATTATGAACTGAATGTCTTTGGGTTTTGAACTGTTGCTCACAGATCACAAAAACTGTCTTTTAATTGCAATGACAGTTGGCGGTTTACAGCGAAGTGGACGCTTTACGGCAGTTGAAGTTTTATCGCAAGCGGAGTCGGTCTTATAATTCCAATGACACAATAAATACTCTCTCTGTTGTGGTTGTGTGAGCAGGCTTCTCTCTGTACAGAGTATTATCGGACACTTTACAACAGAAGACGTGCTCGACTTATGAGGAAATTATAGTCACCAAAAATCAACACTGCCAACCTTTTGAAAAGATGACTCATTTTCACAGGAAAGATTCAGAGTTTGATTGACGTGTGTGTGTGTGTGTGTGTGTGTGTGTGTGTGTGTGTGTGTGTGTGTTAATTCTGTCTCTCCAGGCCGATATTTGGTCGCTGGGCATCACGGCCATCGAGCTCGCCAAGGGTGAACCCCCGAACTCGGACATGCATCCCATGCGAGTGCTGTTCCACATCCCCAAGTCTCCTCCTCCGACGCTGAGCGGAGATTTCTCCAAGAGCTTCAAGGAGTTCACCGAGGCGTGCCTGAACAAGGACCCAACCTTCGTAAGACACACAAACCACTGCTCGATGAGAGTGAATTCAGACTGCATTCTTATTTTATTATTAGATCTTCAAACGGATCTTTTTCCCCTTTTTAAATCATTGTTGTGACACTTTTTCAAGCAAAATAAATGTGTTTTGTACAGTTTTGTCATTTTAAGGGGCATTTTTCGGTCCTTTACGCTGGTATTTCTATTTTCTGCACATCTTTGAAATATTAAATACCTTACGGGCCCTTAAAATAAACTAGAGTTGAGTTTGGGCCCCCTTGTCATGTTTCAGTTCCACCAAAGAGAAATTTCACCTCTACCTTTCTCACATAAATAACTTTTTGAGTCCCAAATTATCACAGAAAAATCTAAATAAAGAAAACAGATTAGATTACGTTCTTCTTTTCTCCCGTTAATCATCTCAGGATCTTTTGGAGGAGCCCGACCTCGATGTTCGGAACATGTTTGCGTTTTAGGGAAATTATCTAAATACTTCTTCCAGTACTGGTTTAACACACTTTACACACTTTTACAGTTTGCTTTTACTAGTCAGTCTGGCAAAAACAATGAATTGTTCAAAAATGTTACAGCTGAAAAAATAACTAAATAAATATATCAAATACCAACATCTTGTTATTATACAGGAAGTATAAGGAATGAGATTTTGAGCTATAAACCTTAATATTTGTAACGTTTTTTTTTTTTTTTTATTCACGGTTCCCTGTTTTTTTTTTTTTTTTTCAATATTCTTTGTCATTTGTTCTGTTGTTAGTCATCCTGTAAATTCAATTAAATTCTTTGTAATTAAGGTGAAGAGGTTTGAGTCACATCAATGTGTTTTCATGTCCTTTACTGTGTGGTTGTAGCTGCGTTTCGCTGCCCCCTGGTGGACAGAAAGCGCCTCTCTTCCGTAACAAATGAACCATAAAAAGAAACTAAAGATCAAATGGAGCGAGACTCTTTCTTTCTTCATCTTTCTCTCCCAAAGAAAGACACTAAAGTGAATTTGTGTTTCTCTCTCTGCAGCGTCCAACAGCCAAAGAGCTCCTCAAACACAAGTTCATCATCAAACACTGTAAGAAGACGTCCTACCTCAGCGAGTTGATTGACAGGTACAGGCGGTGGAAGGAGGAGGGGCACAGCGGCAGCAGCTCCGACGACTCAGACGGGTAATTTCATTACTCTTCATCTCCATTTCTTTAAAGCAGGAAGCTCTGATCTGTTTCATGTCTGCATGTGCAATGGTGCAGTGCTAAGTGTGTGTTTTATTCGTGTGTGTGTGTGTGTGTGTGTGTGTGTGTGTGTATATATTAGTGAGTCCAGTAATAAGGAGAACAGCGACTCACCTGAGTGGTCTTTCACCGTGGTCCGTAAGCCGAAGACACCGAAGGCACCGAAGGAAGGGACAGTCCTCAATGGAACGGTCAGTTTGTGTGTTTGCGCGCGTGTGTGTGTGTGTGTGTGTGTGTGTGTGTGTGTGTGTGTGTGTGTGTGTGTGTGTGTGTGTGTGTGTGTGTGTGTGTCCCCTATTTTACATTTTGGACTCACCTTGTTTTTCCTCTTCCTCACCTGTGCAGGGTCAGGACCAGCTGACTAAATCTGCCAGTCTGACCACAGTCATCTCTCCTGTCTTCACTGAGGTTAATACACACACACACACACACACACACACACACACACACACACACACACACACACACACACACACACACACAAATACAGCACATTTCCAAACACAACGAGGCGTCATCAAATCAGTATCACCTGCTTGTCTCACCGCCTCTGTGTGCTTTACACATTACGGCACCATCTTGTGGTTAAAATAAAAATGCACCAAAAGAAATTGAATGCGGCTCAATGTGTAGAAAATGAGGTACAGGTGATGGATGTTATTCTTCTTCTTGTAGTTGAAGCAGCAGCACAAGGAGCACTCTGAGCAGCGATTGGCCATCGAGGAGCTTGAACGCAACATCCGATTGGCTGAAGAGGTCTGTCCCGGCATCACGGACAGGATGGTCACACACATCATTGCCAGGTACCACAAGTTTGTCTGTCTTTCCTTTTTTGTTTGTTACTTTTTCTTCTCATTTCATTAACTTATACATATTTATTTATTTTTAACTCATATTTATTTATTTTTGTCGTCGTATTCTTTTATTTAAGTTGTAATTCAGAACAATATGTCCGTGTCCTAACATCATTTATTTACCAAATATTTTTATTCTTTCTCTCCTCTTTCTCGATTTCCGTCACTCGGCCTCAGATTCGCGACCAACTGAGGGACTCGAAAAAGTTTTTTGGGGAAAAAGGAAGTAAACGTTATGTGAAGAGAGACTGTCTCCGTACGGTGACGCTGCTGGACCATTTTGGAAAAATGGAGATTTGCTGTGCGATGTCTCCTCGCTGTACACACACACACACACACACACACTCACACACACACACTACTAATGTAATATATACACTAGATTATAAATACATAAATATATATATATATTCACTGCTGCAGGTTTAAGACGTTTTTTCTCCCCAGAGTTCGCTGAATATTTTTAATCAACTGGTCTAAAGTTTTGAAAAAACAATCTTAAAAGTTGTCAGTTGGAGTTATGGTTTTGTTTCCCCTTTTTAGGTTCATGAACTTCTCTTTTTTTTTTTTTTTTTGGGTCAGACTTAATGCAAATTTAAGTCCCCAATTTAAACATTCTTAAAATTACCATCATGTGCCTTGATTATTTATGCAGTCAGTCATTTTCTAATCGACCACAGTACACAGAAAAATACACGGAGAAGTATATGGAAGAGGGTTCTCGTCCGTTAGCGGTATTTTTTATTTTTATTTTTATTTTTTTGTTTGTTTTTTTTTGTGACACGACTCGTCTTGACTTTGTAGATGTTTATATGGTCGTCCAGTAGCACTTGAGACAGATTATATGCCAATATTACATATTTTTTGTTGTCTTCAGTAATGCTTTAAATTACAGTTCCCTCATCCCGGAATTCAGTTGAGGTCCCACAAGACTTTGAGTTTTCAGGGTTCGATTTGGTCATTTTAACTTATAACGTTTGTTTTACAACAATGTACATCATAAATGCTTTTATATATGTGACCCACTAGTGGAACAAGTTTTAGCTGTACTGATGGATTCAAATGGTAATTGTTTTGAACATCCAAGGTGAAACATTCTACCCTAAAAGTGAACACACTTGAGGAATCTGAACTTTTTAACTTCCCCGGTGAGAAAACTATTAAAACAATTAAACAATTCAATTTTAAGAATTCAGATTATTGACTCATTATTGGGAGCTACCAGCTGGCTAGTAGCTTGCTAACAAGTATCTGGCTAACTGTTTCTAAAGTAACTTGCTAAATTTATCTATATAAATGTTTAAAATACTCAAGTTTCTTAAACTGTAAAAGCAACAATTTAACAAAAATCCAGACAAATTTCTGACTCACTTTTGGAAGCTACCAGACTAGCTAGGCAGCTTGTAGCTTGCTAACAAGTAAGCTAGCTTGCTAGCTAAATGTTGTTAAGCTGTTTCCAAAGTAACTAGCTAAATGTATATATATAAATATTTTTAAATTGTTCAAAAACTATTTTTAAAATCCAGACTAATTTTGGACACATTTTTGGGAGCTACCAGACTAGCTAGGCAGCTAGTAGCTTGCTAACAAGTAAGCTAGCTTGCTAGCTAACTGTTGTGAAGTTGTTTCCAAAGTAACTAGCTAAATTAAACCATTTGATGTCCAAGATCCTCAAGTTTATTAAGTTTATTAAGCTTGTTAAGATAAAGTGACAACCTAAATGTTCAAAACGGCTGCCATTTGAATACAATCACTGGAGTTACTTGTGTCTGGTAACAAGTAGCATTGTACAACCGTTAGCTTAAGGAAATAACATAAATGAATGGTTTAATTTGTCTAGATGTAAATGTTGGTTAAGATTCAATTCTGGGATGTTCAAAAAGTGTCTGTTTGGAATAAGATTTCAGTGGAAATAAATGGAAAAAGGAATATTTTCAAGGATCTGCAAGTTGGACGCAAAGGTCTTCCACTTGCTCATGAAATGACTGTTCTCTTTTTCAATATGCATCGAGTTTGGGAAAACATTGTTGAGAGCTGAAAGTTGATTCTTAACAAAATGCTTAATGTGTAACATTGTTTTTAATACCTAGGAAAGTAGCACAGGTCCTTTTTCAAGAGCATGAAGGGAGCTGTAATCAAAGACTTTACTGATAGTTTGTACCAAAGACACTATAAAACTTGGTCATTGTATATTTTTGTCTTTTTATATATCATAAGGGATATGAAAATGCTTGTTGAGGGGGGAAATGTAAAATGAAAGATGTAAGATTTACATAAGTGTACTCTTTTCTTTTTTTTGTTTAAGTAGCGGGACTTAGAGTTTTATGAATAAATATTTAAGTTTGATTGAGGAACATGTTTCCAAGGTTTCTTCTTTACTTTAATGCGATTTTTCTGAAAAGTTTTCATAAATGTCAATTTTAGAAATTTTGTGTGTTCTAGTCAATGGACCTTTTTGCTTGTATGTGATTTTCTGTTATCACAATGTGTTTAAACGATTAGATATGATCTGATTGCTTGGGTGAAAATACCCAACATTGATATGAGAAATGGTAGAGAACATACCAGAATCATTCAATTTTTAAGTCTTGGTGCATTCGATTAATATGACCATAATTTCCTTCCTTGTTTATTCCTTTTATTGGTGCTTTAAACCAAAAAACCTTCACATTTTCCTACAGAATTCACAAGAACCATTCATTTAAAATAACAAACGAACGCATACCCAGCTACAGCAACCATAAAGTTATCCAATGACCTACGTACGCATCAAACCGACAAGACTTCATAATAGAGTTAAAATGCACTTTCTTGCCTCGCCCAACCTGTGAGTTCAGACATCCCAGGTCTACTGAATTTAGGACGAGGTAATATGGCCAGAAAAGTTAATGTTCTGCCAAATATCGGAAGAATAAAAATGTAATTTTCAAAGACAGTTGAGCAAAAGCAATATAATTGAGCTGCTCCACCTGCAAGACAAACATCCTTGTGGATAATTTGAATAATGCATCCCATACAGATATGGACCGTCAATACTAGATGCTTCAACAAGGTAGAAAACCGACATCCATTTTTATTAAACTAAGCTCCTGCTGTTTGTGTTCAGATGAGACATGATATCTGCTAGCGTTGGCTACAGGGCGGGAGCAGAGTAGAATCCACACATTAGTTCAACTCTCACGTCTTCACCCTGATGTTGTGGCATCTTGTGGTGAATCAATTTTCACAATGTTTGATGTTTTACGCATCATGCAGACACACAAATCTGAATTAATTAAATATATCGCCATTATAGAAATACAGTAACGAGTGAACTGATGGCTGGATATGAAAAAGAGACCAAGTAACTGTAAACCAGGTCGGTGGGTCAGGCCGAGGCTGCAACAAATTGTTGGACCTTTTGATGATGAGCTAGGAGAGGTACATTAATCGAATTTTAGAGGTTTTAAAAATCCTAAAACATTTGCTAGCTTGTACCCGTAATGATGCTACTGAAAGAGGTTTTCAGTAAAACAAGGCAAAAACAGTACATTTCATCTGCCAGTACACCTAAAAAACAACACACTTCTGTTACACACATTATAACCAATGTCTTTGTTTATTCTAGGCTCTTTATTTTTACTTTTTAAACCATCCTGCCAGTGTTGAGTGTGATCACATCATGAACCTTTTTGTTTTCGTCTTTATCTACAGAGTGACTTCAGTGATCTTTGCAGTCTTCTCTTTCTTATCTTCTTCACCCTTCAACTCTGTTTTTGCTCTAGCTGCTCTATACTCCTCCTCCTCCTCTTCCTCCTCGTCCAGTTGGAGGCTCCCGGAGGAGTACCTCATCCTGGCGAGTCCGGCGGACCGCGCCACTTTACCGAGCGGGTGTGGTGGTGGGCAGTAGTACGGGTAGAAAACCTCCGGGTCAGAGTCGCTGTAGCTTCCCGAGGTTCCTCCGATCACGCAAAACGAGGCGGGTCGATCGGGCAGAGGGGAGGAGTTCAGCGGGAGGTAGGTGGGTCTGGAGGGGCGTGTCAGGTGAGGGTAGTAACCAAGGGGACGGAACTCAGAGGCGGGGTTGAAGGCGGGGTTAGAACTCCTCGACAGGTGAAACTTGACGTCGGGTCGGCTAACCACGCGGCGAGGCAGCCCGGGGAGGAAGTTGGAGTCGTCGCTGTAATGACCCGCCTCTGTGCGCCCAACGGCCAGGAGCCTCGCCCCGTTACTACCCGGATGGTAAACCCGAGCCAACCCCAACCCGCCGGACCCGGAGGGGTGCAGGTTCCTCCTGATTGGCGAGAGCGACGGCGAGCCGTAGCTCCGTGGATAAAAAGGCGGCCGCGACGGGCCGTCCATCGTCACGAAATCCCGCCTCCTCGGATGCGGGAAGCGTTCCAGGGAAGAAACGGCAACGTAGTCCGATAAGTAAGGGTGCCGGTTGAGAGGCGAGGAACCGGCCAGTGGGAACGTTGGGAGGATGGGGTGATACTGGTAGGCTGGACTGTTCGGGTAGAGGAGCACCAGCTGCTGAGCGGCGTCCGGGTGTGGCTGGGGGTTGGGCCGACGGCGCGAGCGGTTACCGTAGACGCCGGCTAGCCTTTGGGCTTGGCGCTGCACCCCGATCCGTCCCCCCCTCAGGTCCTCCATCAGGGACGTGGAGGCAGATCTCGTCTTGGGCGAGGGGGTTGACGTGTGAAGAGACGGAGAGAGGGGGGTGACTTGGGTGAGAGGGCGGGACCTCTGGGTGACCTCGACGGATGATTGGCTGCGTTTAGCCCCTCCTCCTCTGATGTCGACATCCACGCCTCGGTGGTGTGGGTCCGACTCATCCTGACTGCAGACCGCCAAGGCGTGACCCGACTGGATGAACAGGTGGGAGTGCTCGTACATCTGAGGAAGTAAGAAACACAAACATTAGACTTTCCTATACTGCAAGCAACAATTATTAGCTATTAATCAGCCTATTAGCAACATTTAGCCTTCTGCTCACCGTAGCTACAGCCGTTAGCCTTTAGCTGAGGCAAGCAGAAGCTAAACTATTAGCAACATTTTCGCTCCATCTCTCTAATAGTTGAGTTGAGAAACATGTATTCTTCAGCCACCGTTAAAAAACAAGCCAACAAAAATTGCGAGCCATTGTGAGTGAAAGTGTTCTTGGAATTATTCTGCTTTCGATCCAGCCACAAAAATCATCATCATCATGTGTACTAAGAGAAAAGAAGTCCATATGCATCTTTATGTGCACAAATGGTAGTTTTTCTTACTTGTTTGGAAACATCCGTGAGGAGATCGGGAGAAGAGCGACACTGTCTGGGATCGAAGTCTGACTGACAGTAAGTCCTGGATGAAGAGCGAGAAGACAAAAAGACATGAGAACCAAAAGAAGTGGCCTTTTAGCCTTCTTTATCCTGTTTTTATCTTTTCCCCAATTTCCCTTTAATATATGATTACCTGAGGTTCACAGGAGGAAACTAGATCAAAGAGTTAGACTTGATTAGTTAGTTCTTTGATTGAAGGAAGTAATTATAAAGCTCTAGTTTTGGGTGGATCAGCACAATGTTTGCACCTTTTTGGTGGTATTTTCATAAAATGGGTCAAGTTTAGCATCCAAATGAGTGTAAACTACGATCAAATAGTCTGATGAATTTATTCTCACCTCTCAAAGTGCGCAGGCTTCTTCCCTGACCCCATACACTCCAGCAGCTGTTTCTGCGTCCGTCCACTGACCCACAGACAAAAAAAACATCATCATCATCCTCTTTAAGCTCTCAGTATAAAGTGCTGCACGGAGGACGTACTTTTGAAGGCCAACCAGGAAGTTAGCATCTCACTGGTTCCCTCGACAAAAAGCCATTTTGGATTATTGCAGAAAATGTACTCGTTTATGATCCAACGAACAAAAAGTTCCCCCCAAAATAACATAAAATCTGTGACAAAATCTTGATTTTATAAAAAATTAAAGATTATAAATGGGTGAGTTTAAGGTGTTCAAAACAGCAAAAAAATATGTGATGTATAACCAGGTGGAATGTAAAATTTACTTATGTACTGAACTTAAGTACAATTTTGTATTCATATTTCCATTTTCTGCTATGAGTACTTTTAAAAGTATAAGTATATATTTAAGCTAATACATGTGTGAAATTTTGAATGCAGGACTTTTACTTGTAAAGTTACGTCTATTGATTATGTATTTACACTTAATAGACAAACAAGAAAATGTGACAAAAGCAAACCGACTGAAGTTTATTACCTTTTCCACCCCAGCAGTGTGTGTTTTACCTGTATCTGAAGCTGGAGCCTTTACAGGACAGCAGTGTTTTGTGCATTGTCTTGGGTTCCTCGGACAGCCTGAAGAAGGCGTGGTACTCCACACACGTCTTCCAGAAGGACTTGCACACATCTCGGCTGGCCATGGACAACTCCAGCGTGTCCTTACACGACGGCTGCATGGACAAACATTTCCCATCAATAGAGGCACACAGTATGTGCACAGATGGATGTTGAACATATAAAACGTAACAGGTCCTCACCCCGACTTTGTCGTGTAGTTTGATGAGGAAATGTTTGCGCTTGAAGCTCAGCTTGCGGATCTTCGCCCAACTGAACGTGTTGATTTTGGTGTTTCCCTAGAAAGTGCAGAACAAAAAACATCAAAATGTCCAAAATGTGGTCCGTTTTAACGTGTTCATGGTGCTAAATTAAAAAGTCAAGGGATCACCAAATTCTTTAGGATTCATCCTCTGGACACCCTGAATGTTTGTACCAAATTTCATGGCAATCCTTTCAATGTTTGTTGAGATATTTCGCTTTGGACGAACAAACGGATGAATCCTCCCGAGAGCTGAGCTGCTATACTGTGGACATAAACAGCACCTCCTGCTGACTAGAGCCACGCCAGGTTTATGTTTGGAACTGTGAACCACTAACCTGAAAGACCAGGACTCCAGAGTGTGTGACCGCCAAGTTGATCCTCATTCCCTCCCCGTCGTGAGCGGGGTGAGGCCGGATGCCGTACATGTCCAGCTTCCTCGCCACCTCCAGCAGCTGGATGTCCGAGTCTCCTGGAGACGAACCTCTACGGAGAACGTATGAGCCAAACACATTTTACTATTAATGACAATGGGTGTGATTAACGTGAGGTTTTGTGGCCATTTTTTGGGTCAAAATCAACCACAGACTGAATGTGAGAAGTGGACGTAGTCACAGTGACATCACTTATTGGTTTTTGGTCTTGACTTTATTTGGCGGTCGCCAACTTGGTTTTTAGCAGTTGCCATCTTGGTTTTTTGGCCGTAGCCATTTTGCCTTTTGGGCATCACCATCTTGATTTTTAGTGGTCGCCAACTTTGTTTTTGGCCGTAACCAACTTGGTTTTTAGCAGCCACCATCTTGGTTTTTGTGGCCATCTTGTTTTTTTTACAACCAAAGGTGACATGAAAAAGCGGAGCTAATTACAACCGAACGCTGAATAAAACATTTGTAGTTAACCAGAATCTTAGAATTAACTTTCATGAATTGAAAACGCACTGTGAAAGAGTTAAAGTTCTAAGACAAAAACATGGACAACTCCCAGACCGGACAACTGCTTTATGGTCTGTGTGACTCTAAATGGACCATAATGTACTAAATGAACATCATGCTGTATTGAAGAAGACTTGAAACTAGAGATTGAGACCATAAACTCATGTTTACAATGTTTACTGAGGTAATAAATCAAGAGAGAAGTAGAGTCATTTTCTCATAGACTTCTATACAACCAGAGGAGTCGCCCCCTGGTGGACACTAGAGAGAATGCAGCTTTTGAGGCACTTACACATTGGCTTCACTATTCAGAACTGCAGGTTGCAGCCTGAAATCGGCACATTCTTAGGAGAGTGTGTACCTGTGTTTCCTGTGAAACTTGGTGATCTTGTGGTCTAGATATTCCTGGTTTGGGACGTACTGCTTCATCTCTAAATGGTGACTGTCCAGCTCCTCGTCATAGTCGCCTAGCTCTGCTGCAACACACACACACACACACACACACACACACACATTTACATTAAAAAAATGCCTGATAAAACAATGTTTGCGCAAATAATAAAACAAACAATATTTTTTCCTTTAACTGCTAGAGTTATGCATACAACTGTTGGGTTAAGTTAGAGTTTGCTGCTTGTGTGGAAGAATCCGATTACATTTCTATAAAGAATCTAATTTTTTCTCCTTTTATGCTCAATAATCAGTCATGGAATTAGTATTTACATCCTTTACTTAAATAAAAGTACTAATACCACACTGTGGGAATTATCTGCTACAAGTAAATGTTCTGTGTTCAACACCGGACTTCAGTAAAAGTGTGTCATAATTATAAGAAAAATGTACTGAAAGTAGTTAAAGTATTGATTGATCAGGGAAATGTTTTACTATTATATCTGATGTTTCTGGATTGATATTACTGCTGCATTAATGTGCAAGTTGCCTGTTTTTAACTAATCTACATCAAGGCATCATATCGGGTGACTGCTTTGTGACGATTCATCTTCCAGCTGATCCAAGAGGCTTTTTAAAGAGTTTATTTAGCTGAAGAAGTGGGAGGATTTTCTCAACACATAAAGGAACACTTCACCCTTCAGTTTATCACAAACATTCAACATCAACACATGTGGAGATACGAGGTTTTACCTGGACAGGAACTGTTACGATGTAATGCTTACACTGCAGTATGTGAGAGACCAGCAGGGCGGCGCTGTTGTCATTGCAGGTCAGACTGCCGTGACACAAGTCCTGCTTCATCTGTAAGGCAAAAAGATACCTACACACAAACAATACCATAATCTATGACTGCAAATTCAGCATCAAACATCAATCGAATCAGAGGACTCAGTTACCTGGTGAGGCTTCTCTTCAGCTGTCCAGGATCTGGTGGAAAGAACTTCACTATAAACCTGAAGAACAGATCGCTGGTGTCTGACACGAGAGAGAGGGAGAAGAAAGAGAATCACAGCTGAAATATACAACAAAATTAAAGTTAATACACTGACAAAGAACCCAATTTAGCTCGCGAGCTATCTTAGCTATGTTCCGCGCACAAATGGAACGTTATCTTACCCGATGCGTTTTAACCGGCAGCTCTTTTTCTTATCATAACATGCATCACACATAAAATGAGACGTCACACATAATCAGCTCTCAACCATAATCGCATGAATGCCGATCACAGTTCCAACTTCCTACTCGTTTGGCTTTAATTTCAAAATAACAGCCCAGTGTTATTCAAGATAAATTGGCAAATTAATCCTCACACTGCTTTCAAATAGCTGGATGAAAGAAAGAAAGAAAAAAGAGGATTATTTTAGCCGGAATTAGCTAAGCCACAAAATAGATGATGGATCCTTTAGGAACTTACATTTAATCTGTTTGGCCAGCGGCTTTAGCAGCTCCAACCACACCTGCAACCCAAACACAGTTTTATGACAAAGAAATCCAAAATAATCTGTTTTTCCGTGTGTTTTACGTTCTCTTACGTAGTTGCCGCCGTGGTGTCTGAACTCCAGCCCGAAGTACTCTTTCTCCAGCAGCTTCAGATGACCACACACTTTGTTGAAGAAGTCGCCTCCTAAAACCTTTTGCTGAGAGAGAATTAAAAGATGGAGGAACAGAGTGAGAGGGATGATTGGATTTATTTTAATTGAGACTCTTAAAACTGGAGTCTGTGGACACTCGGGGGACCCCAGACTATGTGGTGCAGCTCTCCGTTAATTAGCTCACTTTGCATATTGAGAATTTGTGTCATATTCTCTGTTCATAATATGAGCTGGAGGTCCATCGACTCTTTGCCTTTCACACAAAGAACGGTGAGAAAAGTCAATGATGTCCTGGTGTTAACGAGACGTTTAGATGCTTGATTTCATACGTTTAGTTGTGAGTTTGTGGTTCTACTGCAGGATGATCTTTGTTATGTTTGTGCTGCAGTTTCATGTCATCGGTCAACATATGTGCTACAACATGGGCAATACATGAGTCGGGCTTTACACATGAACTTGTGTTTGAATCAGGTTTAAATTGAGAGTTTTTCATTAATGTTAATTAACTTTAGAAATAGAGATTTTTGATTGGATGGCATGTTAGGCTAACGGAATGGACGGTGTGTTTGGCTAACAGCTGATATAAGTGCCAGTACACACACATTACATTGTTTTAGATTCTTCACTGTTTGCTTTTTCTTTCCTTGTGTCTTTGTCTTTTTAATGTTGTGTAATACGTACACTTTGTGTATTTCCCCCTTTCTTCTAGACAGTGATAATTATTAAATGTTGTTATATTATGGCGCAGCTCTCTTTAAATAATAGATATCCAAAATCATTTTGATAAGATATCTTATTAAGACTGTTTTATTGTCGGTATTTATTTATTTGTATTTGATCAGCTCCTCTCATTTCATCCTTTCCACCTCTCACCTCTCTCCTCTTTCCCTTCTTTAATCTCTTCCTCCTCTCCTTCCCTCTCTCCTCTCTCTAATTACCGAGATGCTGTTTATGCGTTGCAGCACAAGGTTGGTTTTTTTTTTTAGCGCTTGCTGTCTGCTAGCCGGCGTTCATCGCCCCGGCGGGGGTCGCTGGACGCCCTTCATTAACTTGTCAGTAGAGGGAGGAAGAGGAGGGACGGAGCAGCTGTAACCGATTATAAAGAGAACACAGGCCCAACCGATGATTACTGGAAACAAATGGCCGCCCCCAGAACAACAGAGCAGTTAGTCTCAATAGAGCGGAATAGAGTACAAATTGAGTGGAAAGCAACTTTACGGTCCAATCTGCTGGCTGGAAATGGTGATGGAGAACAACGCTGATAATTTTTTTTTCCTAAAATGATTTATTTTATAATTATGTCTACTGAGAAGTTTAAAAATGAAGAATAACACGGAGGTGTCGAGTTGGAGAGAAGTGAGACCTCTGTAGCCGCTACGTGCATAACTCACAGGAATCTCTGTCTGCAATTGTGTTGCATTGTGGGTAATGTAGGCGCCAAGGAGGGAGAATGCTGCATTGATTTTGATAGCTTTTAAAAACAACAGTCCATCGTGCGTCTGCAGGTGTTATAGGAGTGCGATCATAGACTGTACATAAGAAGCGGACGTAGCCCTCGTGACGTCATCTGTTGATTTGTGGACTGATGTTTTGAAGCCTCGAGTTCGGAGATTTCGCCATCGCCATCTTGGATTACAGTCGTCGCCATGTTGGCTTTTTTTAGGCAACCAATGACCAGAAGTTACCGTATTTGCAATGACGAAGAGACGCCGTATACGTCTCTGGTAGCGACCTGTCAATCACCGTGTAGCCCCGCCCTAAAGCATCCCCTGCTTTATGGTCTGTGTGACTCTAAATGGACCATAATGTACTAAATGAACATCATGCTGTATTGAAGAAGACTTGAAACTAGAGATTGAGACCATAAACTCATGTTTACAATGTTTACTGAGGTAATAAATCAAGAGAGAAGTAGAGTCATTTTCTCATAGACTTCTATACAACCAGAGGAGTCGCCCCCTGGTGGACACTAGAGAGAATGAAGCTTTGACTTCACTCTGCAGAACTGGAGGTTGCCGCCTGAGTGCAAAGCTAAATCAGTGGAGTACTTTTTTAATAGAATACCAATACCAAAAGTTATTGCATTTCTTTTTCTGGGTGGCACCAAAGTCTTACATTTCTTATTCGACATATATATATATATATATTTGTTTTTTACAAAATGGTTTCATTTTGACACATTATTTTACTCTTCCTGAAATCATAAGAACTAATAAGTTACATTTTTTTCATAGAATAAACTTTGAGAGTACATTTCACTACTAGCCATCATTCCTCCTCCATGCATCCATCCATCTTTTGTCCTCCACCACATCTTGGTATGGGTTTGGTCTCACACACACATATTACCACACACACTATATTTATCACAGGGTGGGTACAGTTTATTTTTGCCCTCATCCATCCATTCATCCCTTCTTTTTTTTCTTTCTTCTATTTCCTCCTCCTCCTCTTGTTGAGATGCTACTAATGTCCCGGAGGGAAACCGACAGGAGCTACTTTGCTAACACAATACTGCGAGTCACACACACACACACACACACACACACACACACACAAGAATTTGAATTTGAGAAGCTGACGTTCTTGACGTTTTAACACTTTAACTTAAAATGACTCAGTCCAGTGTATGACATTTGATGAAAGGCAGTAATGAGTCTCTGAGTATATCTAGTAGCTCTGCCCTGCTTCTCAGGCACCTGCTGCAGATTCATGGCATTAAGCATCTGTTTTATTTCACCTTAACGTTTACAATCTATGTTTTGTAGTCTCTTGCTGATGATGGATGATAGATAGATAGATGAATGGATGATGGATGGATGGATATATTGACAGATGGATGGATGAGTGGAGCCTGGAGAGAAGTATGAGGCGTTGGTGACTGTTGCTGGTTTTAATTTATGGATAGTTTAAGAAGAAGCAATACTCTCATACATAGGTGTGAAGGGACACTATGGAGCTGTGAACGTGACGCATTTAGCGTTCAGTTTGCCGGTTTAACAGTAAGCACAGAAGTAGAAGTGAAGGCCTCAAGAATCCAGATGCCAGCTGTGGTTATGTGGGAGGAAACGAGTCCTTAACTACAAGGTTATAAGTACTCAGATCTTTTACTTGTAATGTACTTTTATGGTAAAAACAAATACTGTGTTATGACTAAAAGTCCTGTATTATAAAAGTACACAAACTATAAAGCTCTCAAATAAATCTGGTGGAGTGGAAGAATACAGTAGCATTAAAATGGAAATACTTAAGTAAAGTACAAGTACCTCAAAAGTGGACACAGTACCTGATTAAATGCCCTCAGTTAGTCAACTATGTATCATAGAGAGGGCTGCACGTGCGCATGCGAAATAAGTACAAATAAACCGATTTATTTCAACTGGTGACGAACTTACTTCCACCTCGAACGTGCGCTCGCTGTCATCCAGGAACACCACGCGCAGCCGGAGCTTCGTCTCCTTGGAGACCCGGGACCTGGGCGTGAGGCTGCCGAGTCTCCCGGTCCGCCGGGGACGGTCCCCCATCTCCGTGTCTCTCACGAGGGATTACAACCACGGGACTCCATCCGTGATGCCCTCCACCATCCTGACGGTCAATCCAAAAGTCAGAGCAGAACCACGACGGTTTCACGCGCTCCTCATCATCACCATCCTCATCCTCTCCGGGGATCCGTGGCTGCCGCTGGAGCGCGCGCTCTCCAGATGCGTGACGTTGTTTCCAGACACTGAACCCACGCTTTACCACCAACACAGCTTCTCCACACTTTACTATACTACAGTACTACAGTGGAGGAAGTACCGAGTACTGCATTCAGAATAATACTCGCGTAAAAGTACTGAAATATCATCAGAAAAATGTACTTAAAAGTACTCATTATGTTGCAGATGAGTCCTCATGAGACTATTATGATTATTATTATTATTATTAATATTGAGCCAACCTGTAGTGAAAAGTACATTTAATAAAGTACTATACTAATATACACTTTGTAGGTACTATTCAAAAAATACTCCGCTTGGAATAATAATTTATGTCTTAAATGTATTTGTCTACTATTGTTCAAAATGGAAAAAAACTAAAATACATTTGTTAATATGTAAATATTATTTTTTAATTTCAGAAGTTTCGCTGCTGAACACACAACGTTCCTTCACTGTAAAGTCCAGTCTCACCGTTAGTTTAAGTTTTCTTTTCTTCTTCTCTTGTATTTTCTGTGAGCTGGCGTGTTAGGAGCACAGAGATGATGCTGTACACTCTGTGTGTGTGTGTGTGTGTGTGTGTGTGTGTGTGTGTGTGTGTGTGTCCATGGGAATAATATGAATTTCACGGTGGCTGGACGCTTTTAGAGGACTGACCTGTCCTAAAGTAGGCTAGTAGTGCAATGCCTCCACTCGCCTCCAGCATGAACTGAGCACTTAGAGTGTGTGTGTGTGTGTGTGTGTGTGACACACATGTAAAATGTTGGTCAAGACATTTTCTGTTTCCTTTGTCTGTTTCTGTGACTGACACATCACACATTGACATCAGATTAGATTTAACTTTATTGACATTTCACAGAGAACAAGTACTGCATCTAACAGGACGTAAGCTGCAAAAACCAGTATCTAATAGTGTAATAGTAAGAGGTACTCTAAGAAATTAGGGTTCCCAAAGGGTTCCTCCTGAAGGGCTGATGTTCTAACCATTTGCTTTGGAAGAACCCTTTTTTCAAGGGTTTTCTGTAGGACTAAGGGTTCCATTAAGAACCCCTTTCATCCAAAGAACTCTTTTTGGAAGAAAGCGTTCTTCAAGGATTGTTGAAAGCATGGGTGTCAAAAGATCCCCTCAGACCACGCCCACAAACATCTGTGATTGTGAACCAAGATGGTTGTGGGTTGAGCTGCACCACATCAGCCCCGGTCCTCGAGGAGCCTCATGAGTGTGTTCTAATCCAGATGAAACCCTTGGAATACGAAAGGGTTCCCTGTAGAACCCCCTAGGTGTTTATTGATGAAACCTTTGGAATATGAAAGGGTGGGTTCTTGTCGGTACCCTTAGAAGATGGAAGGTTTATGCACAAATCCTCTTGAGAGGGTTCTGGGTGGAACCTTTCACAGATGGTTGTAGGTATAAGCTTCTATGCTGGGTTCTCGGTAGAACCCTCTGAAAGGGTTCCAAATGGAATCTTTATAAAAGGTTACCAGGAACCAAAAACGGTTTCCTTATGACGAACTGAAGAACCATCTATGGTTCTCGTTAGAACGTTTTATTTCCAAGAGTGTAAATATGAAGACGTACAGTATGAAGATGACGGTTACCACAACATAACGTGCAGGTATAAGTACAATAGACAGTAGGATAACTATCAATATATATGACATAGAGTACAGACATCAATATAAAATAAAGTACATTTGACTTTGTTTTTATTGTCACAACAGACCACTAGATGGAGATAAAGACCTGAGGATCATCTAGAGCAGCTGATAGAAGACACACACACACACACACACACACACACACGTACGTCCAGTAAACATGAGTAGATATTTTGATACTGTAATATGAACCTCTCCGTCTCGACTCACCATCTGCCACACACACGCACACGCACACGCACACACACACTTTTCATTTTTCCATCCCTTGTCTCCAGTTCCCTCCTTCTGTCTCTCCTCACCCGTCTCACTTTCTCTGTCTGTCTCTCTCTCTCTCTCTCACACACACACACACACACACACACACACACACACACACACACACACACACCTAACCTGCCTGACACAGTAGCATCTGGCATCTTTATGCTGTTGCCTCCCTCCTGAGACACACACACACACACACACACACACACACACACACACACACACACACACACACACACACACACACACACTGACAGCTCTCCCTCTCATATAATTCTTCCACTGCAGCAGCGCGTCGTCCTCTAAACTCCGCTGGTTCATATCTTACCTGCAGGTTCGCTGAGACTCTCAGGCGATACGCCTGCTTAATAATAAACATTTAAAACAAAATACAGCTCATGTTAGCGAAACTATTTAAATATTAGGAATCAGAATGAACTTTAACACACACGTCCAGTTTGAGTCCTTCCCTCCTGAATGAAACGGACTGATCCTTCTTTTTATGCCAGGACTTAAAATGTAAAACATTAATTCATCCAGTGCTGAAAACTACATATTTGTATTTCTGATGACATGAGGAACCCATTGTTTATCCCATTGTTTATCATTTATTATTTATTTTATTTATTTAAGTTAAATGAAACAGTTTAGATAAGAGGGAACGTTCTATTTAAAGATAACAATACTGACGGATAAGTAGATTATGATGAAGCTCCATCACATCTGATGGAGGCTGATACGGTATTTGATTACATTTTTTAAGAAATCACTGTTATGTGAAGTCTAAATAAATAACATTTTAGCAGATCATTTTGGAAGACGAGTCAATAGATGCTTGGCTAAGACCCGCCCCTCCAACGCAAACTCTCTACCAGAGACGTATACGGCCTCTCTACGTCACTGCTCCACAGTCCTAATATGGTCACTTCCTGTTTACTGGTTGCAAAAAGCCAAGATGGCGACTCAAGGCTTCATAACATCAGTCCACAAACCAATGAGTGACGTCAGGGGGACTACGCCCACTTCTTATATAGAGTCTAAAAGTGTCTCTTTAGACAATAAAAAGACTAAACTAAACTTCAAAACATATCAAAGATAAAACGTGACACGGTGCTCGATTGTGAACATTTCTATCACATCTCGTCAAGTACCAGACATCACCTCTGGACGGGAAGTTAGCGTCGCATCATCTGTCGGATGTGGCGACCTTTGACCCGAAAATTAAGAAGAAATCCCGATGTCGACATCTGTCGGCCCTCTCGAGGGAAAATCCAACATGGAAGCGTGCGCATGGATCCTGGCGTTTCTACAAGATGAAGCAAAGGAAGACATGCAGCGTGACGAGGAAGGGGACATGATGTGGAAAAAGAGAGAATTCTCTCTCTCTCACACACACACACACACACACACACACACACACACACACACAGAGTGAGTGCTGATGAAGGATACGCTGGAAAAAGCTGCAGAGAACAGAGCAGGTGGAAACCATTAACCGCTGCATGGAAAGTCAAATAGCAGGTCTGTGTGTGTGTGTGTGTGTGTGTGTGTGTGTGTGTGTGTGTGTGCATGTGTGTGTGAGACAATCACAGGAAACCATTTAAAGCCACCGCAGAGTTATCACCTGAGACTCTCTGTGCCCCCCAATTTCACTGAACTCCACCCGCCTGCTCCACCCTGCAGCTTTAAACAAACACCCTTTTTAGCTTTTTTCACATAGTTAAAACAATTTTTTTAAATTTAATATCTCCATTTTGTTAAAAGAAGAGTTTTTGCAGCGTTTTAATCTCATTATCTTGATTAATGTGACCGAAGAGAATGTCAGCTGTTGGTTTAAACTTAATTTGGAGCGAAAATTATGGAAATAAGAGAAGCAGGAAGCTGAATTAAGACGCCGTCCCGTCTCGTTTCTTGTAGGCTTTTTTTTTCTGAATGTGTCGCACAGATCCAGATGAAATCTAAAAGTTCTGATGGATTAGAGCTGGAGTCGAGCTGCGCAGAAAATGTATACAGGATGTTTTCTGTTGTCATTTTAACGATGACTTATTTCTGCTTTTTCGTCTCTACCAGCCTTCTCTGACAACCAGCTTCCTCGTGCGGTCTTTACCTGGGTCTTTGTTTCAGATGGACGTCTGAGAACCAGAGGTGAGAAACTGTCGAGAGGTTATTTAGACTAGAGGCATAGCTCACCCAAAACAATATAAAGTCTGTTAAAAGCTCTCAATGGTCCCAGAAAAAGCTCCTGGAAATTGGAGGCAAATCACTGCAAACAGACTTTGACGGAGTCCGAACAAAAGACGCAAAAACGAATATTTATCATAAAATCCATTTTCCAGCATAATCCAAGTGTCTTGTATCCAAACACAACTATTTGTGTTTCATCAATTGTGTCTGAGTCTAAACGTTAACACGACTAAAGGTTTGTTTTTCTCTAAAACCATAAAAATCAACCTCCGAATGCTGATATCTGACATCATTTTAATATGTTAGCGTGATACTGGATCCAAATTTGAACTTTAAGAAACATGTAAAAAACAAAACAATAGATGCTTAAAACCACAAAGAACAACTTGGTAAATGTTGGACGTATTCTCTCTGGACGTAGCCAAGATATTTATGCATGTTATGATTTTTCCCCTCATATCTTATTATTGTCTTATAATGTGAGCAGCTGTAACTCTATCGGACGTTTTTAAAGCCAACTTAAAAAGCATCCCCTGCTTTATGGTCTGTGTGACTCTAAATGGACCATAATGTACTAAATGAACATCATGCTGTATTGAAGAAGACGTGAAACTAGAGATTGAGGCCATAAACTCATGTTTACAATGTTTACTGAGGTAATAAATCAAGAGAGAAGTAGAGTCATTTTCTCATAGACTTCTATACAACCAGAGGAGTCG